TTAGTATTTCATTCGTGTCTGTATTTGCACATTCCAAAGAGACCTCAAGTCTTTCAAAAGAGAAATGGGCCACACCCATCTATACTGACTCCCAAGTACATGGGGGCCATACCAGAGGTGCTCAATAGATGCTTTCCCCTCAGTTGACCTGGTTGTCTGGCATCAAGAGCAGTGTAGGGTGATGATAAATGACTCTGGGCTTTGAGAGCAAAGAGACTTGGCTTTGAATCCCAGATCCAGAGCTTCCTGGCTATGTGGCCTTGAGCAGACCATTGACTACTCTGGGCCTCAGTTTCATCTTCTGTAACTTGAACCCAATAGCAGCAACCTCCTAAGAAGAGTGCTATAAATTTGTGCCCTGCTAGTGTGGATGGAACTGTCATGGCTTTAGAGGGGTGTAGGCATCACCCAGCCATTCTCTGACCAATACCCTCCTATTCAGTCACACCCTGTCTCTTCGGATGCACCAGCAGCCAAGAGAAGCTTGCCCTGCACCTGTCTTCATTTTCTTTCCATATTCCCCACTCTCCATCCCTGATCAAGGGAGGAAAACAGACTGTCCAGGCCAAGGTCAAGCAGCTGTCCAGCGGCTCCCTTTCCTGCCTTATGCCTCAGTTTCCCTATTATATGGCAGCAGAACCAATCAGCAGTTAGCTAGCACACATTTACTGAGGACTAGAGATGCATCCAGCCTTGCCAGCTTAGCCAATCCATGGCAGGCAGGAAACATTTCTCCCTAACTAATAAATCAAAGTCAAGGAGTCAGTGGGAATTCACTAATTTTTTCTTGATTACACCTGGATTTTGCCAACCTTGAGTGACAAGCTGGGCCTAGGCAATCTGGGCAGTCTTTCAAAGTTTTTTTTTTTTTTTTGAGACAGAGCCTCAAGCTGTGGCCCTGAGTAGAGTGCCATGGCATTACCGCTCACAGCAACCTTTAACTCTTCGGTTTAAGCGATTCTCTTGCCTCAGCCTCCCAAGTAGCTAAGACTACAGGTGCCCGCTACAACACCGGGCAATTTTTTTCGGTTGTAGTTGTGATTGTTGTTTGGCAGGCCCAGGATGGATTCAAACCCACCAACTCTGGTATATGTGACTGGTGGCTTAGCTGCTTGAGCTACAGGGACTGAACCTTTCAAAGGGTTCTTGATCTCTCCTGCCTGCCTGGCTGTCTTCCTCCCCCACAGAGGGCTGAGGGCCCAAGGCTTCAAGGGGAAGTGGCTAGCAGATATCAAGGTTCAGACCAAGGATGGTAGGGTGTAGGTGACAACACAACCGGAAGCTCTGCTAGGGCTTCTGCCCACAGGATGTGTGACTTAGGGATGGCTTGAGGGAAAGGCAGCAGGTCCTGTCCCAAAAGTCAGATAGTAGTGGCTTTTTAGAAGTCCCCCAGCGCTTCTATCTGGACCAATGGTGCTGCCCTAGCTCTACCCCTAGGCCAAATGGGCAGGACCCTGACATGGGGAACTGCTTGAAGTTTGTGCCAGACTGACTAGGTTCAAATACCACTAAGGCCACTAGTCAGGTGTCACCTGAGTCTCAGTATCCTTATGTGTACTACGGAAGTGACAATAGTATACACCCCATGTGGTTGAATGAAAATGAAGATAATTCTCACAAGTGCTAAGTATAGGGCTTATACTTATTTCCTGCAATATTATTTTCACATTCCCCACATCCCGACCCCTAACTCAGCCAACAGCCTCCTTGCTTCTAATACACAGTGTACCCATGCAATGGTCTTCAATCACATCCTCACGTAATACTCAACTCCCTAAAACCCTCTGGCCCACAGTACCCTCAAGAGAGGGCTCCCTGCTCCTCAGGCCGGCCCGTTAGTCCTTCCCTGTTAGGGCCCTTCCCTAGAACAGGACCACTAGGGACAGCAGACTTACCAAAGTGATTGCTGCCTCCTCCTAAGAGGAGTCTTTGAGGCCTCACAGTGTAGGGCAGGGGTCCTCAAACTTTTTAAACAGGGGCCAGTTCACTGTCCATCAGACCGCTGGAGGGCCTGACTACAGACCCCGGGACAAGTTAGCTGCTAAGCAGGACAGGCAGCTGCGGCAAAAACACCCAGTGGGCCGGATAAATGTCCTAGGTGGGCCACATGTGGCCCGCGGGCCGTAGTTTGAGGACGCCTGGTGTAGGGTAAGAGCGGGGCAGCAACCCTGAGGGTTTCCTGCAGGTAGAGAGTCCTGTGTGTGTGGGGGGGGGAGAAGTGGGCAAAAAGGGGAGCACAGGCCTCAGAGCAGAAAGGCTTGGGGAAATAGTACAGAGATTTGCATGGCCTGGGGAGACCAACTGTAAAAAGCCTCCAATGTCCCATGCAGGTTTTCCTTGAACAGTGCAGACTGCAATTTGGGATAATCTGGCTGGTCCTGTGAGGGGTCAGATGGAGAGGCCAGACTGGGGCGGTGGAGGAAGGCCTCAGGATCCATTGGCAGAGGGCTGCAGAGGGGCAGACAGATTGAAGGGGTGCAGAGGAGGCAGAAAAGAGAGCTTCTCTGGGGCTGGTCATTGGGTGAAGCTGGAGGAAGAACTGGAAGGCTCCTGGAGCCAGGGAGAAGCAGAAGAAGGGACACAGGGCCAGTGGGGTGCCAGCTTGCTGGGTGAATGGTGGGCTTGGTGCCTGCACAAGGATAGCTGGCCTCCTGGCCTAACCGCAAATAGCCTAGGTTATGAGAATAGAATCCTCTTCACATTCAGACAGACCAAGTTCAAGTTCCAGCTTTGTCACTGTGTCATCTTGGGCAAATGACTGCACCTCTTTGAGCCTCAATGTCCTCTTCTGTAAAATGGGTTAGTTATCCCCACTATGGGGTCTGCTGGTTCAGGAGTCAGCAAGAACGGGCCAAGCACTTCCTGAGCATACCCGGCTGCTGAAAACAACGGAAGCTATTTTTTGGTGATTCCTAACCCGGCCCGACCAGCTCTGGCGCAGCTGGGTGGAGGCGGGAGTCTTGTGGTCTCATTTAAGCCTCCCAGGGAACCAGGGGTTCAAGGATACAAGGCCCGTGCGTTGGTTGCTCGCCGCCTCCAGTGTCGCTGCGCCCCCTGGTGGCCGTCGGTTGCTATGTCAACGGCGGGTGGCGGGCACCGGAGGCGGCAGCGGCGGGGGCCATTCTCTCCTCCCAGGACCCGAGCACGCTCTCTCCACACCTCCTGCCTCCGCCTCTAAAGGGACACTACGAGATGGGGAGGAAAGG